AGATATATAATTAATAAGTTAAATATATTTTAGAAATAAATTTGTTTTCTAAATATATAAATGGCTTAATTTTATAATTTTATATATTTTATATAATTATAAAAAAAATTTATATAAAGAATATTAATTATTAAAATAATTTAAATTTTTATTAAGATAAATAAAAAAAAGATAGATAAATAAAAATGAAATATTATAATAGTTAAATAATATTTGAATTTAAAGAATTGCTGAATTATATTCTTTCTTATTTAGATTCTTTGTAACTATTTAGTTAATTTTATTAATAGAATTTTAGTGAAAAATATATAAATATAACAATTATACTTAATTAATTAACTTCAAAATTATAATCTTTAGATATTAATATTTAAATTTTAATAATAAATTAATATATAAATTTATTTTTATTTATTTTCAAAAGTATATAAGTATTATAAATAATTGTATAATAAAAAAATACATAATTTAACACCTATTAATAAAATCTATAAACCTTCTTATTCTTTAAAATATTTATGAGTTAAAAATGATTTAATTAAAAGATTATTTAAATGCTATAATATTTCTGATATAGAAGTTGATTTTATGAAGGATTAGAATTAGATAATTATTTGTAGTTGATAATTAAAAAAAAAAAAATGAATTGAAAAAGTTAGTTTATATAATAAATTAAATTTTACTAATAATTTAGAGTTTTTTTTGTTAATTGAAATTTAATTACATAAATAAAAAGACTAAATAATTTTAGTAAAGTTTATTTATTTATAATTAAAAGAATTCTTTAAATAAAGTATTCAGATATTTTAAACAAAATTTTAGTTTCAAATCCCAAAAAGGTAATTTATACAGAAGATACTATTTTTAGTATTTTAAATTGGATCATAGATAGATTCTAAACCAACATTATTGTTATTTTATTATAAAAAATTAAAGGTTATTAATTTGAAGATTACTTTAGATTACTTAAAAAGATGATCGGCAAGCTCAGTAAACCTTCCTAAATAGAAATTCAACGCGATCAAAAAAAATATCATTTTAAAAGTAGAAATACAGTATTTTTCCCACATAAAAGTAATGTCCGAGAAACTATAATTTCTTCTCCACCAAGCGCCAAGGCTATTCCTTTTGGTTGGCTTTTCCCTTTCTATGTCGTAAAGTAAGTATTTCCACGTTCTACTTTCTAACGACGATTTCAAACCGTCCTTTTGTCGAGGTGTTCTCCTTCCGGATTTGCATGGCCTTTACATGCTTTCCCTTGTTTGGAGATCTGTTGACGCATATGTGTGGATCGTTCGTAACTACCAAAGCTCTTATTTATTGAAAGGCTTCTTTGCTATTTTTCCTTTGCGAAGATAAACCAACCTTGGTTGGTTATAACAATGCCAAAATAACTTAAGAATTAGCAAAAACGAATTCCGGTGTATATTTATTTATCACTGTTTTTATATCGTCGTTGTAGTTAGTATCTTCTTTGCCGTATCTTCGTCACCAATAGTTTTTAATTTATAAGGTTTTTCCAGTTGCTGTAAGATTAAAATTTTGAGATTTCATCAAGGACAAATTTTTTTTTTTTTTTTATTGTCAAATATATATATAATTATTTACCTTGGCTAATCAATCAAGAATATGTTTCAAAGTAACATATTCTGAAGTGATGGGAACTATTTTATCATTCCATTTAGCAGGAACTTGTTCAAGAATTTTCACAATTAATGGATAAAAAAAAAAAAAGAAAATTGATTTATTTTATTTTATTTTTTTAGAATAAATAATACGGCGGTATCAACTTCAACCGATGGGAAAGACAACATATTCCTTTAAATAAGGGACGGCTACTTCAAATTTTCCTGAACCGCAGAAACGACAGTCCCAAAATTGTCTGCAAAATTCACTTGATTTGGATAACAATTGATTACGATATTGCAGAATTTATGTATAAAGCTGGTACGAGATCCCGAAGCTATAAATCCTGTAGGTTCATAATCTAAAAGAAAAAAAAAAAAATTTCCCGAAATCACATTATTTAAAAATTACAAAACAATTTTTAAACTGTAAATAAATTAAGACTAAAATTTGAATGAAAAATTCTTACCATTTAAGAGATGGTATAAAGTTTACGTTATTTATAGAACAGTTTACGTTCTTCTCTAACTCATCAGCAAATTTTTAAGAAAGTCTCATCTTTTTCTTTAAAATTATTAACATCAATAAAAGTATAACCTCCATCAACAGCAACTTTTAAATTCATCTTGTTAGCCGTGCTATGATATTTATTTTGGATATCATCCCAAATAAAATTTTGTGTATAATATTTTTCAGTAGCATGCACCATCCTATGAAATACAACTCTATTGGTTGGTAGATGAGGATAATATGAACTTAAAATTATTTTATCACCACTATATTCACCAAGTCTCTTTCGAGCAAGCTCGTTAAGATCATCAAAGCGTCCTTGTGTGAAAAGATCCTTGCCAATACTGTCATTAAAGATCAAATCATCACCATCTATAAACCTATCTGAAAACCTTTTAGCAAAATGGCTCTTTCCAGTACCTGTAGCAGCAAAGATAATCAACAATGAAACTTTATTTTGATTACTCTTGATACTACTATTATCAGTACCACTGTCATTATTATTATTATTATTATTATTATTCATTTTAATATTCTGAAAATTCTTTTTCTTCCCAGACAAACGGGTGTAACGCAAGTTTAATTTTAAATTTCCATATATATTATCCTTCAAGGCACGAAAAATTCAGCCACTTTTGGCTAATTAAATTTGTCGATAATTTTAATAATTTTACCCTTTGACTTGACGAACTCTTTTTAATGACAATATTTTTAATATGTACATAATATTCCGGCGCATTATACCTTTTTTTACGCGTGCTTTGTTAGTTTGTTTATTTATTAGCTTCATAACGACAATATTCGACGCTTATTACTCAATGAAGTCTCCTTCATTCCATAACCCGTGTATTCAAGTCACGAATATTAAAGTTTGGCTTTATGACTTTGAAGAGACTGTAGATAAAGGCCTTAAAGAATATGCATTTGTAACGATGAATATTAATGCAGGTAAATTACATTTTAATTAATAAATTAATACTTCATTTGATCTATTTGATCTGATTTGAATTGTTCTTTATGAACAGACTTTACTCCAATTTTCACATTTAATACCAAAGCCATCTTTGTATCAGTTGTTGTTGAATACGAAACAACTTCTTATGTGAGTCATATTCCTAATCTCGTAACGCCATTTATCCTTTCTGATTGATTCATTTTATCTTTACAGAATCGAAATCAAATAATTCTGTGGTCAACCACGATAACGAATTCATCTACAGCCCGAATAAAATCGCATAAAACATTAAATAGATATAGCTTTTATGATATTACACCAAGTTTTAATGGAGTTAATGGAACTTATACGTTAGAATGGAATGTCATACCAATAGTTGGAATGATAAAGTATGGTCGTGCCGATTCGAATGAAGAAAAGTTCACTTGTGCTTTCCCGAACATTTGATGGTTCTGCCGTATACAAATTATAATAAACAATTGTCATATAGAGATGATAGAACAATAATTTATAAACAAAAAACATTTTTTTTTTAAATTTTTTTTAAATGATCACCGAACCAAAAAAAAAGCTGGATTTATGAATCCCGACCGTCATTTTATATATGGATCCTGCAATCAAAGCTATTTCAAATTAGAACTGGATATTAAATTTCTCAAATAATGCACAAATTAACGCATGATTTATTTACTTATTTTTTTTTTTTTAAAAAAAAATTAACGAGTTGTGTTTCTATTCTTTGAGAAATAATGAAATTTTGTTTAATACCATTGCTAAGATTATGATTGACATTCAATATTAATATATAAGTATTTTTTTTCTTTAGTTATTTTAAATTATTAAAAAATACTTAACAATTTATTGTTAAATTATTTTAAATTATTTTAAAAAAAATTATTTATTAATTTAACTTTATAAATAATTTGATTATTATAAATAAAAATATAATTTAATTTGAAATTTATATAATTATATTTGTAACTTTATATAAAATTATACAAATCAAGAATTTAAATAAGAAAAAAAAATTGATAAATATTCTTAAAATATGACTAAAACATTGCTTAAAGAATATTGTATTAATTATTTTTTAAATAATATGAATAAGTATACTTGTTATTGAGTATTTTTAGCTAAATATTATAATGCCTTGCTAAGAATATTACAATATTTATAATAGATATTTTTTTCTTATCTATTAATAGTAATTTGTTTTAATTTTTACTTTTGATTTTTCTCTAATCTTACATTTTAAATTTACATATTCTTAAATTAATAAAGATTATATAAAATATGCATCAAATATTGCTTGCTTTTTTTTCATCATTTTTATATATCATAAACTATATAATTATAAAAATTAATTATAGTAAATAAATATAATATAAGTCATTATTAATAATATTAAGAAATATATAATAATAGGATAATTAGTGCTATATGCTTTATTTCTATATCACTTATTAATATTATTTTAATTAGAAAAGAACTAAAATCATAATATATCTCACTTTCATTTTTTAAAATATTTAGTAAGTTAAAATATTTATTATTTCTGATATTCCTTTTATATATTATTACATTATAATTATTCTTCATAATTATAGAAGTAGAAAAAAATTGTGAAGAATCATTTATAAGTGATATATTTTATTATCTTTCTTTAATACTAATTTTTGAAGGCAAGTATTCTCTAATAATAAATTAAATCAACTGAACATAAAATATCTAACTTTCATTTGTATATAATATTATTCAATCTATTCCTTTTCTATATATTTTTAATTCATATTTTTTGAATTTAGATTTATCTTTATCCATTCTAATTTAAATATAAGAGAATCCATTTCACTTATTTTTTCTAAAAAAAAAAAAAAAAATCAGAATTTTTTAATAATTATAGAATTACTTATAAATGATAAGCAAAAGGTTTTAATATTGAAAATAATCTTAACAATTCTTTTAATTAAATATTAAATGCTAATTAATTAATTAAAATTAACAAAAAAAAAATAAATTATCAGAAAATAAACAAATTGTAATGAATAAATAAAAAAGAAAAGAAATATACAATTTTGCTAAAAAGGTAAATTGGCAATAATTTTTCTAACATCTATCTATTCTAGTATAGTTAATACTTTTTTTACCCTCATATTTATCACCTAGAGTTATATTCTCTGCATTTCAGTATTCCAAAGACAATTTTTCAAGTAGTGAAAAAAATATATTTCATGTTCATTATATGTTACCAATCACATGAAGGTGAAATTTACTTATAAAAGTGTTGGTGATACTGGATAAATTCTAACATTTTTAATAATCATATAATCCAAATTGCCTAATCTATCATTAACATGATATCAAAGATCGAAAAAACTTACTACTATAGATTTAATTAATAACTCAAAAATTAATCTATATTAAAATTGAGTTATTAAAAAATAAAACTTATCTAAACACAGTAATGTGCCCCTCTTTTTTAATTAACTTATATTGCAGATATAATTTAAATAATAATATATTATTCAATTTAGTAGATTAATTGCAATATCTTTACAAAAATAATGAATCTGTTTTTTGATTTCATTGTTTTTATTATATTCATTATTATAAAGCTAATAACTTGTCTTTTTATTAAGATTTAAGCAAACAAAATTTTTATTACTATAATAAAATAAAATTTAAAAGAAAAGATGATAAGTTTTCTGAGTTGAATAATCAAATTCTCTTATTGTATAAATAAGCAACTTTTAAAATACTTTTAAATTTGATTTATTTGAAATATTATTATAAAGAACTTAATCTAAAATTTTTAAAAAAACTAAATATTGCAGTTCAGCTTTACTAATATATTTTGAAATATAGAATGAACTTCAAATCAATATTTACCTTCCATCACTGAAGTTGAATATGACTATGTAAATTTATAAATAAATCATTTTTAACTGTTATTAATTTTAAATGACTATTATTATTTAAATAGTTGTTTAATTATTAATTTTTTAAGAAAATAAATCTGTATTTTTATCAATTTTCTTATCAATTTATAAACAGTAAAAGTTATAATATGTATAATATTATAATTTTTTTATTAATTTAATATAATCTACTATTTTATTATTAAGATTTTTAAGGTCCTTTTAATATGAGTGATAATTAGAAGAAGATATATTTAGACTGAGATTAATTATTGTAATTAAAGAATTCAAATAATGAATAAGACTTTTTATTATTTCCTAATTATTACAGTCAACTCTTGATATAGTAAATTCTTGATATAACGAATATTTTAAACAAATATAATAAAATACTCTTATTATAGTGAATTGACCAATAAAATCTCTTAAAATCTTCACTATAGCTTTATAGCAAAGTTGAAGTTTAGAATATAGAGTTCGTTATAATAAGAGTTGACTATATTCATTTTTTTCAATTAATTTCAGATGTATTTTTATTCTTAATAATACTATATATATCAATGCTATTATAATATTACTATTTAAAGTAATATTACTATTTAATTAATTTATATTTAGGTATAAAAATCTTTTCAAAAAGGCTTTAAACTGTTTTTCAAAAACTATATAGTAATATGCTGATTTTTTATAAAATTTTTATATTAATATCTAACTGTATTCTAATTTAATTCTACTTTTATAGAATTTTTCTGCTAAATATAAATTATATAAATCGTATTAATATATATAATCCCTAATAAAAAGAAAGATAAAAAAATTTTTTAAATAATAAAGTTTTTAATAAATAATTTTCAAAAATTTTTTATTTTTAAATATTTTTAATTAAAAAATTATATATTCAAAAAATTAAAATATAAAAAGTATTTTCCTTCTCTATCAATTTGACTTTAAATATAAGTTAAAATACTAAAAAATTAAAAAGTTAGTCTTTCTTCATATTAATTTAACTTTATGCTTTCTATTTTCTACTTTTTTAGTTAAAATATATTATAACTATTATAAAATCTTTAGTTGAACATTTTATTATTGATATATAAAGCTTATTAATATAGTAAAATATTTTATAATCTTAATTTTAATATGACTAAATATTGATCTTAATGATCATAAATCTGCAGATGTGTGACGAAGTACAAAATGTTGAAAATGTTAAACATATTAAATATGTTTAATATGTTTAATATAATTAATATGTTTAACACATTAGATATATCTAATATAGTTATTATAGTTAATAATAATATAGTTAATATATTTGATATGTCAATATATGTAATAGAATTAAGATAAATACAAGATTTTTGTAAATTAGAAAAGATAGACTAACGGCTATATAGAAATCTCTCTCTTATAAAAGATAACATAAAGTTACTCTTAATTTTGTATATTTTTCTCGTTTATTTTCTTTTTCTTTTTTTATTATATTTATTATCTTCTTATTCTCTTTTTATTTAAATAAAACATTTCTTATTTTCTATAGTAAACTCTTTTTATTATAAAAACTTGTACTTGTGATTAAAGCTACTTGCATTTAGTAAACCTAATTTAACTTAATAGAATTAATAGTAAAATAACTAAGATTCAGCATGAAACTAATTAGATTTATATGTAAACTATAAAAGAGTTAAACTTCTGATATTGTGTCTAATATTTGCAACCTGAAAAGATTGCATATTAACAATATTAAAATATGTTTTATAGGTTTTAAATAATATACATAATAATTAGATTAATATATATAAAATACTATATAATTATTATACAAATCTTTTTAAATAAAGTTAATTATATAGTAAAAAATTGCATTGCTATTCTTTTCGCTGAGGACTGTATCAGCTATATTAGATATAAAAAATACCATTTTTTAAGATCTTAATTGCTTTATTATATCTAATAATTCAGTTTTATAATACATTTAATATTAACAAATACTATGTAATTCTTTATTATAATATAATACTTGATTTATAATTAAAACTCTGAACAGTTCAGTGTATAAAATTCACATGCATAATGTACACATGAACACATTAAAAATTTTTTGTACACAAATAATATCATGAAAATATGCATATTTTGCATATAAAAAATTTTTTTTTGCACATTAATAACACGTTATATATATTGAGTACATATTGTGCACATATTGTGTAATAAAAGCTGTTTCATTATTCTTTTTGTAGGCTAGACTTTTTTATGATGCAAAACTTCTCTTTTATAATTTTGAAATTTAGACAACTGGATTAAATGATTTAAGTATGTAAAAGAGAGTTGGTATCAATTTCGTTAAAGGAAATATAATAATATTTTTCTTTTTTTCTTTAGAATATCAAAAAACTTCTTTTGTAAAAATACTAGACTAAGATGAACTGAACAAGTAAATAAGTGAATGGGAGTGTGTGAATAAAAGTGTGTTAATGAAGGTGGTTGTTAATAAGAAATATTTCTAACATTCTTTCTTTTTATAGA